CTCAGGCCAGTTTTAAGAGTGTGAATTGGGGTAACTGTATAAAGGCTCTGTTAAGAATGTTTAAGATGGTTTGTAGGTACCTTGGCCACTTGGCCTGATGGTTTGACTTCAGTTTCATCTTTGGAACCCACATGGTGGGGAGAGAGAAACAACTTCTCTAAGCTGTCTTTTGACTTCTTCTTCTTCTTCTTCTTTTTTAAAAAGATTTATTTATTTATTATGTATACAGTGTTCTGCCTGCATGTCTTTCTGCAGGCCAGAAGAGCACATCAGATCTCATTACAGATGGCTGTGAGCCACTATGTGGCTGCTGGGAATTGAACTCAGAACCTTTGGAAGAGCAGTCAGTATAACCTCTGAGCCATCTCTCCAGCCTATCTTTTGACTTCTACAGATATGTCATGACAAAAAACACCTACACAGATGTATGTGTATGTATATACACATGTATACACATGTGCACAAAAATACATACATAATACAAAAATAAAATAGACTCTATTAATATGTCTTAAAAACCTGTGTCCTGGCTGGTTTTATGCCAGCTTGACACAAGCCAGAGCCATGTGAAAGGAAAGGACTTCAACATGGCCCACAGAATCAACTAAGCCGGGCTCACAGGGGCTCACAGAGACTGGAGTGGCAACCACGGAGCCTGCACGGGTCTGTACCAGGCCCTCTGCACACATGCTGCGGTTGTTTAGCTTGGGGTTTTTGTCGGATTCCTAACAGTGGAGGTGGGGGGTGTCTCTGACTCTTGACGGCTTGTGGGACCCTTTTCCTCCTACTGGGTGGTCTTGGCCAGCTCTGATATGAGGGTTTGTACCTAGACTTACTGGATTGTGTTATGTCATATTTGGTTAAGATCCCAGGGAGGCCTGCTCTTTCCTGAAGGGAAACGGAGGAGTAGTGGATCTGGGGGGAAGGAGATGTCCCAGGGAGACTGGGAAGAGGGGAGGCAGCAGTTGCGATATGCTGAAGGAGAAGGATAAATAGCTAGTAGATAAATAGAGAGAAATGCCTCCATAATATTTGGCTGTAGGACATTTTCATAATTAGTGATTGATGGAGAGGGCCCAGCCCATGGTGGGTGGACCATCCCTGGGCTGGTGGTCCTGGGTTCTATAAGAAAGCAGGCTGAATAAGTCATGAGGAGCAAGCCAGTAAGCAGTACTCCTCCATGACCTCTGCATCAGCTCCTGCCTCCAGGTTCATGACCTGTTTGAGCTTCTGTCCTGACTTCCTGCAGCGATGAGCTGTTACCTGGAAGTGTAAGCTAAATAAGCCCTTTCCTCCTCAAGTTGCTTCGGCCATGGTATTTCTCACCACAGCCCTATAAACCCTAACTAAGGCAGCAGAGAACTTTCAAGTCCCAAGAATATCCAACGTTAGGAGCTGAGCAGACATGTTTAATGCAATCGTGATACACGTGAATATGAGAGTGTTTCTGTACAAAGACGCCGGTGTAGCACTACACAAGCTTCTGTACGTGCAAAGGGAAAAGGGAGGCTAGTGAGAAGAAGTTGCTCTTAAAGTAGACTTTACTCCTCTTGGAAAATGATTGCTATATACCCCGAAAAGTAAAAAAAAAAAGCTCCATAATATATTAAGAGTACAGTTTGTATGAAACCTGTGTGTGTGTATACACAGTAATATGCACAGGAAGAGATCTTAATAGATGGTTACTACACCTGCCCAGAGCTCTGAGATGATGCTTTACATTCTATCCATCTTCTACAATGTTTAACTTTCCTTTGATTAGCACTGTTTAGCCAAGAAAGTTTTTTTTTTTTTTTTGGACAAAATACCAAATATTGGAGCCTATGGAAAAGGCGCTCCTTCTAAAGGCTTGCCTGTTATTTAGTCACAACAACTGAGGCTCCCACTTCTGTAATTTGTAAATGCAGGCTTTCTATGTAGATGCTGATGTTCTGGGACTTGGTCTGGTTTCACCACCACTGGGTGGGGCTTTTGTCCCCAAGAGATCACACAGAAGCCACAGTCACGATGGTGGGCCAGGAGGCTTGCTCTCAATCACAAGAGCTTGTCAGCCTCACAGATAACCGTCAGTTCACCTTGTTTCAAGTGACACATCTTTGCTAATGAGAGGAGAGCTGAAAGCAGAACAGGGGAGGGAAGGAGGTTGCTAATCGGAATATTTCATTGAACCAGGGAACGGAGATCAAAGGGAAGAAAGTGGTGGTTATGGCAGGTGTGTTGGCAATCAGCTGAACACACTCCAGACAGCATCCAGTGGTGCTTCCAATAACGCACGCACGTGCAAGACAGCTGGCTCCTTGGATGCCTGGGGGTTCACTGTAGAGCTGGGACTGAAATTTGAGAGCATAGTTACAATGCTGTTTCTAAGGAGATGGGGCAAGGCAGCAAGGCTTGTTGCTATCTGCTGCAAAGCTGCATCCTTGCTTCAGCTACTTAAGCGTTTAGCAAATGTGGGGCAAACTGAGCCATCAGTATTCAGTGGTGAAAGGTGGATTTCTCCAAACACAAATGTGATACAAAGTTAGCACTTTCTGACTGGGAGACGCAGTTAGACAACACGGACCACCTATATGGTTTAAACTAGCGCCAGAGAAGGCAAAAAAATCTGCAAAAGAGACAGGAAGACAGATTTCAATTTTGAAACAAAATACATCTTACCAGGATCGTTCTGTCTTTAAGAAAGCTGTGATTTGGTCCTCAGTGAAAGTTTAAATGGGAAGCTGTATTCTGCCTTGTGAGGCGCCTCAAGACTGGCGCTGGACTTAAACACGCTCACCTGCTCCTTGGATAACCCAGTGTGCTCACACACTCCAGTCCATGCCTACTCTGGCTGGTGAGCAGACATCAGGACGGAAGTCACAGGGCCATGCTGACTGCTATACCAAGTATGAGCAGTTCAAGGCTGACATGCGGTGGGGAGCAAATACACATGACTGACACTCCAGAACGGGAGGGAAAGGGACTCAGAGGGTCCTGGCCTGCTCTAAGCACCCATCTTCCTGGCTCACTTGCTCCAGGGCAGCGTGATCTTCACCCACACTTCCCATTTACAACAGAGGTATATTTACCTCACAGGAGACAGGAAGCAGAGAGGAAAATGAATAGCAGAAATCCTTTCATGAATAATCAACTAAAAAGGTAGTTTGTAATCGCTATTCAGAGCTACAGTAATAACACCATCGACTACGTCTAATTGCCATTGTGATTTCAGTGGAGTGAACCCCAATGCCTGCATTTCAGAACTCAACACCTTTGTTTTCACCAGGCTGCAATGGTTTCCTGCATCCTGCCTGCAGGAGGTGGCAACAGCTGTAGGCCACAGGCAGAGACAACTATTTAAGGGCCCAGGAACATTAATCACACAGAAAAACCTTTGTAGAAAGACCTATTTGCCAACTTGTGTTTCTAATTCCTGAAGGAATTTCACCTAAGCATAGCCCCAACCATGAGCTTAGAAGGCTGGACTGCATGATCTCAGCAAAGTGGGGCTCCTTGCCTTAGGCTGCCCTCAGGAATGTCAGCGACGGAGCCAACCGGATACAGCGAGAGTAAGCAACTATGTATAGCAGCAACTACATACATCAGTACATGAATAAAAAAATACATACATCAGTACATGAATGAACAACTGCATACAGCAGCCATACATGAATGAACACTGATCGTGTAACAATACACACAGCAGTACATGCATGAACAACTACACACAGCAGTGCATGAATGGACACTGTGTAACAACAGCAGGTGAGGACCAATTGTGTATAAAAACACACGAGTGAGGGATAACTGCAGACTTGACACAGGAAGTGTGGGAGTTAGCGTGTGCAGGGAGTCAGTGAGGGCTAGCTCTAGACAATGACATGCGAGCGAGAACTGCATGTACATAATGACATGTGAGAGCCAACTCAGTACAATGGGTGTGAGCGAGTGTCCCTGGGCACCGAAGCACAGGAGAGACACGGTGAGCAGCAGCAACTGATCAACTACACAGAATTAAATAACTGTATCTGGAGGCGCACGAGTGAGAGAACTGTGTTCAGGGTGCACAGATGAGCGCCAACTGCACATATCAGCACCTGAGTGAACCCAACACACTTTCTCATGAACACATTAAGTTCACAGTTAAAATATTCATCAAAACAATCCATCTCCATAAGCACACAGTTAAATTTCCTAAGCAAATTATTTATCTGATAATTAATATTTCAAAGATTTTCATCAGGGCTTGAAACAATGATATATGATTCCTAAGTTATTCCAACTCTGGTTTTACAGTTTCTGATTTTTTATTTAGGAAACCAGAAAGATCAATGTGTTAGAAAAATACAACTTCTCGATAGTCAAATTAACTAAGATTTAGAGTACAGACTTACTTTATCCTTGATGGGAATCATCCCTGGGTGGGTGGGTATCTTTATTCAAAGGTTATAAGTCTCGGTTTTAAAAGTTTTAAAATTGAATGTTCAAACATGAAATTTCAATGTTAAGAGAAAAACAACATTTGGAATCACCAGTATTTCCACATCAATAATGAACTATGTAAGTACTGGAATACTCTCTTCCAATAAGATATTCAACAGTAAACACAATTATAACAGGCTAATCTTCCCCAGAGATACAGAAGACGTTAATTCCTTGATTTTATATTTTTCAGAAAATTTTAAAAGTTTAGAAAATCTTGGCAAAAGTTCTACTAGACCAGGCACTAGCATTGAGATGGATTTAATTCCAGATTGCTCATGCATTACCCAACATGCTCATGAACTTGCCAAGCTTTAACTTCCCAGTCCCAAGAGCTTCTCTGCTATTACAAGTTTGTTATCATTTTTAATGGCTGCAAATATCTATTAGCCCACTACATAACTGGTTACACAATGGCATACTTAGCGATATCCATCAAATTATAAGTGTAAAGGCTAATTTACAAGACTGAGGAATGATGTAACACCAGAAAATAACGATAGGAACAACACTCCATCTCCCCTGCCCAGACGTTTTACCTTCTGTGTCGCCGCCACTGGAAGCATTTTCGGAGTTCGCACAGCTGGCAGGTTCTGGCGGGCTAGGAACATACCCTGGAGGAGGCAAGCTCACAGTGTACAGCCGACGTTCAGGCTGGATCTTGATGTCACCATCTGTAGAGAAAAGGGGTGCAGCGTGCACTAGTAAATATTACATAATACAAGCAGACAGTTATTCACCCTGATCACATTAGTGCTGTTTCTCCAATAAAATTCAGTGAAGACAAGATATCAAGTAACTCAATAATAAAGCCAAGACACTGTCATAAACACTGAATTTCAAAAGCTAAACATTTTCTCAGGAAAGTGACTCGGTTATGTGACCAGTCGTGACAAGAGAACCAGCTACAATTAGGTAGTCAAAATGTAAACTTGTCGGTTTCTGTAACATGATATAAAATATAACTCAGGAATGTGAAGCAGAAATTATAAACAGGGCAAACGACATACTATCAGAACATGAATCTTTCAACATTTTTGTACTTAGTTTCCCCTGAATTTTGTCTCCACATTTTCTCTGTTACATGTACAAAGAATGTGGATACACATGTTTGGAACACATCCCCACAAATCTACAGACACATGCGTGCAGACACAACTGTGTATAGACACGGACACGGACACCCTCTCAGGTCAACGTGTGCACACAGAATTTGCACTTCTAGGTCACAAGTACATCCGGATACACAGACATGCAGAATTCGGGACAGTGATTAAAAGATCAATTATACATATAATATTATTTTGACATCACACAACACACAATTCACATGGATTACATTTATTACACAAGCATTTAATTGAGTTTAGTATCATAAAATAACACAAAACAAAACATAGGATTTTAGCCAGCACACTCTTTTAATAGCACAAAATATTCTATGCTATGGACACACTATAACTGATCTTTTAACTACTGTCCTGAATTCTGCGTGTGGGAGGGTTTTGAATGGTCACTGTTATGAACAGTGGCTACGGCCATCTGCACCAGGCACTTTCTTCACTTCTGTAACTAAGAACCTGACAAGCATCACTTTGGCTTTCAGTTGAGAGGGTTAGTCTCTAATGGCTGGAAAGGTGGAGGAGGAGCCCATGTCTGTGGAAGCAGGACAGTAGGGCTACCTGTGCACATCTCCACAGAGCAAGAAGTAGAAGTGGGACAGAGAGAGAAACAAGGCTTCAGAGATCTGCCTTCAGTTGGTCCAGCCTCTCAAAGCTTCCACAGGGTTCCCAACAGTGCCATCAGGGATGATCCAGCAAACCAGTGAACCTGTATTAGACATCCACCCTGTTCTGCTTCCCTGTGCGTGCTTGGCCATTTTGTTTCTCCTGATAAATTCTTGGAAACGGAATTGTTGATTTGAAAAGACTAACCGTTCACTGTGTTTTCATATTTACAAAGCAGACAAGGGATCTTCTCTCCCACTCTTCAATATTTTCTATCGATCCTCTTAAGTTTTGTATTTTTACTGATAATATGTTAAAGCGACTCTCATATACATGGCAAACACAAAAGGATATCCCCGCTAGTCTTTTACAGAATAACTAAGATTTTTTTTTTTTTTTTTTTTTTTTTTTTTTTTTTTTTTTTTTTGGTTTTTCGAGACAGGGTTTCTCTGTAGCTTTGGAGCCTGTCCTGGAACTCCCTTGGTTTTAAACCAACAATTAGCAATTTATTTTAAACTAACAACGATCAAGACAGAACAAAATAGAACAGTGAAGACGTGCGTTTAAGACATTTAAATGTAAAAACCATGAAACCTTTTTAAATTCCTCTGCCATCAATATATTTCACTCTCTGGAGGCTAAGTATTCAGAACGTTGCCAGAATTCTGGTTCTTCTGGTAATTTGATTCACACAGCTGATTAGTTACTACACCCTTCCCTGCTAGAATCAAGGGCAGATGGAGATATGCTGCTATGTATACTAATCCTATCGTGCAACATCAACATTTGATCATTTTTCACAGAGTATTTTTGGAAGCTTTAAACCACTAAATCGTTCTTAATAAGAAAGTGAAATAGAACTTAAAAATGTCATTGTTCACTTAAATTACTGGAATGGATCTAGGAAGTATCATGGAAGCGGAGCATGAGATGAGTCACATGCTGGAAAATAATGACGTCTCTCAGAACAGATTTGGAAGAGGAACGTGCCAGGAGACAGTCTTCCTCTGGTTGGAAACCGCATGCCAACTCTACAGAGGGCTTAAGCTGCAAATGAAACCCCTACCATAGTCAGGGCCATCCAGGAGGGGTGGGAAACTATGACCCGGGGCTTTGGTTTGCTCAGCTGTAAATAAAGGTGACCAGATCTCCTATAATAGTGTCTAGTTCCAATTTCCTATACAGTGACTCTTTCTAAAGGTAGGTGTTAGACCTTTTGCTGGGGCATAAGTCTATGCCACACTATGGCATGGCTACCGGCCGTTTCTTTCTACAGCCCATCATCTTCACGAGGGGCAGCAGCTGCTGCTTCCATCCGCCCAGCTCCCTGGACTGCTGATCTTCCTAGGAGAGGAGGGAAGACCATCAGCTCCCATACCTCCAGTTATACACACCGGAGGCTGAGAGGCTGGGAATCAAAATCCCCAAGCAGAAGGAATATGCACTGAACAGCTCTATTTGCTTGTGAGATACTGCCAGGAAGTAGCCTCGCTTGGAGCCACACCAACTGCTCCTGCCCTCCCACCCATTTCCCTTCTCTTCCCAGCTGTGGGTTAGTAGAACCTCTCTTTTGCCCATGCCCGCAGAACATGGCTCCTTCGAATCTCCTCTTGTCTGGCACCCAGAAAACCACAGCACTGGTGAGCAGAGAGCCCTCACCCTCAGAGTGACTCCTCAGCAGCTAATGTCTAATCAGATGCTCCCCAAAGTCACCTGGACATAGAGCATGTGCTGGCTGTCCTGAAAACCCTATTGTTCTTGCTCTGTGGTGGCCCTGACTTCTGCTTCAAAATAAAAATAAACCAAGGAGTTCTACAGGGTTTACCAACCACAATAACTGTGACGAAATGCCTCTGTTCATACTGCTGTACCCTCCAATCTGCCCCGGCCATAGCCACCCCGTCCAATGTTAGCGCTCTAGTGGCCTTCCCCTTTCTCCATGAGACCTGCTGTTGCAGCGGCAGTGGCTTATACACCATGTGAAACATTTGGAGATTATTACACTTCTTTATTATAGTCAACACTTATTCACATCACTGAAAGTTTTAAAACAATTTCTATATTCACTGCTCTTCCCGATCGTCTCTGCCTCCTGTTTTTGCTGAAACATACAGGATGTTCTTTTGATAGGCATGTGATTGGACAGGTGCCTAAGTGATGCAGGTCTGAAAATATCTTCACGCGTTCCCTTCTACACGATGTCATTCTACATTGACACCACAGGTCCACAGTTCAGGCTCCCACTCTGCTCTGACCTCTTGCTGCCTTTCTTGGGAAGTGCCGATTGTTGGCCCTATGCTGGGGAATTCTGCCAGACTGCTGGAGAATACGCAAACAGAAAGACACACAACTCCCAACTTATCCTCACATTGTCTCTTGTCTTTACACTTGATGACACAGTTGGCTCTCACTGGGCCACCTAGGGGCTGGCATGCCTTTAGGGGAGCGCAACCTCCCTGGAAACAGTGAGCCACAAATCACTTAATTAACCCTCCATCCCCTAACCCCACCCCAGGGCCGGAGAGAAGGCTTAGCAGGCAAAAGTGCTTTTGCCAAACCCGACACCTGAGTTCAATCCCAGAACACACACGGTAGGCAGAATTGATGACCTCTACAAGTACACGATGGCACACTTACCCCCACATACACACCCTCCGCCCACACAAACTACATGAATAAATGTAAAAAGGGTTTGAACTAGCCCCCAATGTGAAAATTTAGACTTCTGATCTCTCTTTATTCTGAACAATGTCATAGTTAATAACTTAGAGCATGCCAATCTTTTTATTTTTTAAAAAGGCTTATTTGTTAATTATGTATACAGCATCTGCCTGCATGTATTCCTGAAGGTCAGAAGAGGGCGCCAGATCTTATTACAGATGGTTGTGAGCCACCATGTGGTTCCTGGGAACTGAACTCAGGACCTCTGGAAGAGCAGCCAGTGCTCTTAACCCCTGAGCCATCTCTCAGCCCTGAGCATGCTAATCTTAGCATTCAGGAGTCAGTTCACAGGGAGACTGGCTAGATGCAGACCTTCTGCACCCAGGTGGGTGTCAGGGGTGACTGTATCTTCTGTCTCTTCCGTCTGTCTTCAGTCAGGACAGCCACACCTGAGTGTCTGACAAAGGACATGGGTTCATGATTCCATGACAACAGGAGAGATGGAAGAGGGATCACAATTCACTTTTAATTTGGGTTTCTCTCATTAGTAGACACAGAACACTCTCTTTCTTTAAGGTTGAAAGAGTTGCATATTTGTTTTGTGAAATGCCAATAACCCTGTTTTGCCCATTTTTATCTGAGGTATTTACCTTTTTTCCCCAACACATGACTTTTTTGTATACTAAATAAACGAATCCTTTGCCTATGCTATCAGTTGCCATAATTTTCTTGGTTCACTATTTATTTTCTGACTTCACATGTGGCAATTCTGCACGCATACTTTTGAATCTTATAAAGTAAAACCAACAATTTTTATAACCCTGGGCCATATGTATAACTTTATAGGGAAAGAGTTCTCCTATGTTTTCTTGAGTACTTTCATATTTTCATGTTCAATTTTAAATTCTCTCTATGTCTGGAATTTAGTTAGTTTATTTTTCCTCAGCTATATAGGTGGTCTTAACAAAATAAAAAAAATCATGACCCCCTAACTCATCAGGCCCACAGTGCTCTGTGGATCAGAGGTCCAGGAGAACATGCTGCTTGATAAAAATGCCCGTATCTAAATGCCCATTGCTTCAACTGCCATCCTAGGTTAGGGAGTGATGGACACACTGCTAACATAACAGGAAACAGAATTTTGAATTTTAACTAAGTAAAATTTCAACTTAAACATCTGAATGTAGACAAAGGCTGGAGTCAGTAATTCACCACCCTGAACAAAGGGAAGCCTAGAGTGGTGTGCCGCCTTACTGTGAGGGTCTGTCTCACTGTCCTGTGACCTA